CTGAGGGCTTTTTATATTATCGCTATTGGAGGGGGATTTGCTTCTACCCTGTCACTGCCTTCATTCTGTTGGGTGGCACCATCTTGGTCCTCTGTGTTGCTCATATACCTCTTTTTTTTTTCATTTGTCAACATCAGACCAGTTGAAAGCTGATGCTCTTTCTATGGCCTCTTGGTCCTGGCTTTGGCCCTGTCTGTCTGGGTGTGCCAGCTGACTGCTGCTACTCCAACATTGCTTTGGTTTCATCTCTATCAATGTCCTGAGTCTGTTGCTACTTCATACAACCAGTCCCACTGTAGCTTGAATAGTTGCCTTTTCCCATTGCTTTTGGACTATATGACAGTTGGACTCAGACCTGCTCACCAGTGTGTAACAGCCTCAGGTCCTCGGCTTTGTTGTAGTGAACTACCCTCTTAACTTGGCATTCTCTTAACTGCTTCTGTTTACCTGTTCTACACTAGTGGTTGTTATTGTTTTGATCCTTTCCCTGAGCATTTAGCTGCCCTTGCTATTTGGAGGTATTTCTCTAAGGATTTCTCTGTTTCTCTCAACAATCATTTCTGTAAGCTGAGAACTTGTCTTTAATTAGGTAATATTTAATGTCACCAATGTGGATGTAATCTAAGAATTTATCCCCTCTTCTGCTTCTTGGTTTCAGGTAAAAAAAAAAATCGGTATCTTTCTACATTCTCATTCTGTTTGGGTCACAGCACTCATCAAACACCTTTATCAGCTGTTCCAGTCTTTCTGAAAACCTGGCGGGCTGGGGATAGGCATTTGGGAAGAGCAGTGAATTGATAATGAGTCTGGTTTACAATAAACCTGAGAAATCTTCTGTGGCCTCAGAAGATAGAAATATAAAAGTAAGCATCCTTCAAGTCAAGGGCAGATCCAGGGAGGGAATGACGGAGGCCAGGAAGACCAGGCAGAACCTCAGTTTCTGAGATATCTGTTGAGGCAATGCAGGTCCAGGACCGGATGAAGGAAATAATAGAGTAAAACACCTTCTCTCTCAAGTTTTGAGGTATCTCCTCTACGGCCCATCCATAGGAGGGTCTGCACACCTCCTGGGCCAGGTAGGTTTTTTTTTTTTTTAAATGGAGATATCCCATCTCCTAGAACTGGAAGGGACCTTGAAAAGTCATCAAGTCCAGCCCCCTGCCTTCACTAGCAGGACCAAGTACTGATTTTGCCCCAGATCCCCAAGTGGCCCCTTCAAGGACTGAACTCACAACCCTGGGTTTAGCAGGCCAATGCTCAAACCACTGAGCTATCCCTCCCTTCCTCCCTACTGCTGAGAAGGGTCCATGAAGAGCGACGGGAATGGAGTGGGAGGGAGGGGTGGATAAAAATTGTGTGGTATAACAAATCGCCACAGTATTTAGCATCCAGTGGTTCAATGTTATACAGGACTATGCTAGGCTGAAGTGGGACAGTCAGTCCAAAAATAAAGGGGAGGCAGGATCTGAAGCAGAAAACCTGGGGCGCACCTTCTAAAGGCCTGCTTGGGCCCACCAGAGTACCTATGTGACCCTGACTGTGAGGTTGAGGTGGACGGAAGGAGTTGACTGCACTTGTAACCTCTCTCTTTTCTCTTATAGGGGTCCTGTCTTGGAGGCAGAGCTGAGAAGTATGGCGGCTACTGGGGCCTGAAGTGCTTACTCGAATCAGATGGAGTACACTGGACTCAACATTCTCAGCAGAGTCAATGGTGCCACCATGGGACCAGGGATGGAGGAATGGCCCAACGTGGGTCACACTCCACCACCTTCCCCTTGCTTGCCTTTCTTTGGGACCAGCGGGCGCCCTCTGTTGGTGCACTGCTTTTTGTGCTTCTTCCTTGGCACCAGGAATGGAGAGCAGTGCCGGGATGCGCACAGTGGTGGAAGAGCACTTTGCACTGAGGCTGACGTGCTCAGTGCTGAATCCGAGGGGCTTAGTTCTGAAGCCGGTCTAAGACCCGCTTCCATTAGGATAGTCTTAAGTCTGATCACTGTGGCCTTCTTTGTGCAAGGTTTAAAGTCCCAACAAATTTGGCAGTGGTCTTACATGTGAGATTCTCCCAGACACTTCAGACAACTGGAGTGTTGGTCGCTCATGAGCATAGGCTTGCCATAGGAGGCACAAGGTTTGAAGCCCGAGGACAGGGTCTTGCCCGGCCTAGAGACAAAGGGAGCCCCTTAGCAATAAGGGGAGGGGATACAACTATACACATTAAAAGTATTTTCAATATCTACACTAAAACTAAACTATGAAACAGAGAGATAATCACCTTGCCAAAGGAAGAGGAGACATTCTAGCAACTGTCACGGGCAATAAGAAGGAAGAGGATGTGGGGCCAGCGGTGCCCCTTATACTGGTGCATAAGCATGCGGCACCAGAGGGTATCAGAGCTGACCCAATGAATACCACTGAGGGAAAAATCTCTGGCAGCAATCTGGCAAAACATCTTAGGTGTGCACACACCTAACATGGAATGGACATGAGCAAGCACTCAAAGAAGAACTAAACTGGCTCTTTATTAAGACAACTATATACAGAGATGCTGTAACTGCAGCTAGCATTCGAGCAAAGAGCACACAGACTGACTTTATGGTGCCTCCTCCAAACTCCTCCTTCCTGAAACCTGTGCTCCTCCCTCCAAATTCCATTCAGGTTGCTATATTGACAACTATGCTAAACCATCATCACAATTAGTACTAATTGTATTCATGATGGCAGTCTCAAGAGAGAGGCAAAGACTACTGAGGCAAATAGACTAAATTATCCTCTTATTCTTAAAGGAATTCTATACAGGGAGGGTTTGAGGCACATGGGGGTGGTACTGAAGGGTCACTTTTACTACTACAGCTGCTCTTTTATCTATCATTTTAGATAAATAGAGGACATCAGTATCCATTGCAAACAATCCCATTCTGTTCATCAGCATCACATTCACAAAAAGAGTTTCAAAATAAAATAATAACAACAACTTTAGAACAATGAGAAGTGGTATCCACATTATTTGGACATAACTATGGGTTTTAAATGAGTTAAGCTGCTTACATTTTTATGTGAAGGCATAGTAGTAAAATTAAATTTATAAAAGTCTGGATTTTTTAAATCAAAGTTGGGCACAAGTTGTTATTGTATGGTTGCAGACTTGCTAAAATTATTTATTCTTTAATAAATAACAATAATATTTTTCTTTTTCTAAAGTTTGCCTTTCAATTTACTGCTCCAGAAAGGTACTAGTTTGCCAGCCAGGAGACTGAAGTCCTCTGTTTAGTCATGACACTGGCACAGTATGGACAGGAGCAATACAAGCTTCTCCACAGTGTTCATGAATGTGCCTTAAACTTGACCTGTGGGGAATAGATTTAGGCTGGACCATTAATTTCCTGTCTTTGCTGTCAATGATAAGTATGGTGGTGGTCTCTGTGATGTAAACTTCTACCCATTAAAAAGGGCTGAGACCACCAACTCATTTCACTTAAGCCATAATATGGTAACAATTTCACTCACTACCAACCTGGGCTGGAGTTGAACCAGGAACATAGAGGTGAGAAGCACTATAGCCCAGTATTAGTCCTGAGTCAGCCAATCTCCTGGCTTTTATAAAATCTCAAACAAAGAACAAGACTGACCTTGGCAACAGAGTAAATGAAACTTTTAAAGGAGTCAAATTTTGGGGCCTACCACCTTGACAATGTCCCTTGAAATAACTGGCTGTTTGGTTAGACTGTTTTAAATAAGGCAAATGATGTAAGTAAAATTAAAACCCATTTTACAAAAACAGATTGTGATTTTCTTAGCTATTTCTATGTTTGGGGTTTAGGCTTTGAATTCAGTTGTGTGATGTCTAAATACAAAACCTTCTTGGATACTGTACATACCACTTCACGACCACCCAAGAGTGTTACAGAAAAAAAAGTTTTATATGTTTGTGGTATATTTGCTTTACAGTACAGGTTTAGAGTTATATATTTTAGATATATCATTTCAAATTATAAGTCTTGACAGGGTCAGAGGTACAAGTTAGTGGTCTCACTGCCATTTTTGAACTGCAGCCATTACAAATTGAAGCCTGGTATTTCCCAGCAGTTACAGTTTGCCCAGTCTTGATTGGCTATTGTTCACCATGCCCTTCCACAGCAATAAGGCAAAATGCATTCTGCTTTACTGTGAAAGGAAATGATACATGAAATGTAGGGCTGCTGAAAGTGAGTACAGTACGGCATGTTTAGGTTCTTTCTCCTCTGGCCCCATGAAAATAGATTATCAAAAGCCAATGCTTCATGGCTGAAAGAGTGATCCATTTAGAATGAGATATTTCAATGATATTATGATGCTTCACAATTACTTATTTTAAAGCAAATAATACCTTATTGTATTGCATAGAAGATACCATTCTTGGCCAAATCTATGAACTTTAGTGGGAGTTTTACCTGAGTAAGGAGTGAAGAATTTGGCCCATATTATATTTTACTTGGTATTTTCTATACAATTACAATTAGGTTAAAACTAATTATTTTTCTCATGCCAGGTAAAATTGTTTACATTTAATAGTGGTAGATGTGAGGAGGTAGATGTAAAGTTGGTTTACTGCTATCATATAGTAATGATGTTTATCAGTGACTGATTAAATCATCAAACATTTTCTTGTATATTTTGAGCTGATGGCCAGAACAAGTAAATAGCTTGTTTATTAAATAACCTATAATGTTTCCGAGAATCATTAATTTTATAAAAAGTCTAGTTTTATATATTTTGTAGTATATTTGCTATATCGTGCAGTTATAAAGTTGCATATTCTCGATACAACTTTTCAAATTGCAAGTCTTGACAGAGGTCAGAGGTAAAAGTTAGTGGTCTTGTTGCCATTTTACTTAAACAGTTATTTTAAGCGAGTTCCACCCGGGGTCATTTTTTACGTCTTTCAGGATTACTATAGTTGTTACTTGTGTGAGCTTTCACTCTACTGCCAGTTTTGGCACTTTTAGAAGGAAACAAGTACCAACCTGAATGCTGTTAGGTACTCTACATCTCCCATGGGGGGATCCAAGCCACCTGTCCAAGCAATATTTACATTATATCCTTTGCCAAGGCCTCTTCCAACCTGAAAAGACAGGGGAAAGTGCCAAAGGAGGAGGGGAGCAGGAAAAGGGGAGATGAAAAAAATAAGAAAACATACAAATGTGTGCTTTTGAAACAAACATCAAACACCATGTCAAATCAGTCCAGTCTTGTTTGACAAGGACTGTTCTGGGTTATACATTTGTTCTCCACTGGTCCTCCAGTCCCTATGGACAATTTGGTAATCTGGTATAATTTAAAGCACCAGCGAAGGACGAGAAAATTAGGGGTAATCATGCAAAGCAATTACCTGAAAGATGCAAATAAAAATGGGTCTCTAAAGAAATAAACCTAACCTCATTTGGGGCTCCACTGCCAGGGAAGAAGTTGCCTTCATCATAGCGATGGAGGGAAACATACAGGATGCTGGGGTCAGCATAAAAAGCCTGCTGTGTACCATTGCCATGGTGAACATCCTAAAGGGGAAATTAAATAGATGACAAATGCAATAATGTCCAACTCGGTGAGTAGAGATAAGTTCTCTCTCTCTCTCTCTCTCTCTCTCTCTGTGTCTCTTCCCCTCTCCCTCCACCACCCCTATACTTCCTGAACTTTCAGGCAAATTACTCTTTAATGCACTCATTTTTTAAACTGGCTTCTAAAAATCAGGAAACCACAGTGAGCATGCCCTGGAGACTCCAGATGAGCAGTCATTGAGAAATCCCAGTCCTTTTGTACAATTAGATATTTATACACCGGCTCTTTGTACTCCTTGCCTCAGTGATGGAATCTAGCATCCTGTTTTATGGAGGAATTTTATGACTTATTAACTGCCAACAGTTCATAACCCCTCAGGCTTAATTAACTAGCCTCACTGGCCTCTGAAGAAAGACTAATGTTTAAACTACAAACTAGTATTTTGCAGAAGGATCTACGGTTTACAGAGCATTTTCGCAATTCTTGACAGAACACTAACCATAAGTGTGTTCATTGATTTGCCAAGTTCCACTACTGAGGTCAAAGGCTTTGCGACCAGCTGAGTAAATTGGCTCTCTTGAAACATTCAGTTCAGTTAGCAGTCCCTCAGCAGTTAGATCCACATCAAAAGATGCCAGATGCAGAAGGACTTCATACTTCATTTTTGCAAAATCATGACGGCAACAGTAGACATAGCAGTATGATCTCATTAGCTATTAAATCATCTGGCAGAGAAGAGCCAATAGTATGGTGCCTTCCACAACCGAGGAATAACCATAGCCAATTTGCATATTTCAAACATAGTATAACAGTCCAAACACCAGTGCACAGGAAATCTCTTTCTTTAAATAAAATATTTTAAAAATATTTAGAGAATGAGCATATGATAATGGATAACGGTTTAAACTTTTCAAATTTATTTTTTGTTTCTTCACAGTTGTATAATTGTACAATATATGGTTAGATACATGTGGGGTTTTATAAGCGAAAAGGGAAAACCCAGGTGCACTGTGGTGGAGGAAAACTGAAGGTTTTTTTTTTCCCTAAACTTCCACATTGAAGCTTATAAGAGACTGAAAGATTTCAGATGTTGATTCTGCTTCTTTACTCCATCTGAGTAAAAATATAGATTTCAAGAAGCTATTCCGCAAGGAGAGTAAACAAAATATTTTGAAAAGCAAGCCTAATGCCTTGACTGCATTTTCATTACAAATGAGTGTTCTTGGGTCTGGGCTGATATATAGTCTTCAAAAAATATTTTATTCAAAAACTCAACAAAATTGCCATCTGTTCATCATTCATCTATTCACTGTGATCTCTAGGCACCAGATACAGATTAAAGGAGCATAAAAATAAATTCTATAAAGGCCTGTGCTCTCCACTCTTAAGTCGGCTTCTACTGTTGTGGGTTTTGATTTTTTTTAATATGTTCTGGCTCTGACAATTTTTAAATTATAAGAATTAAAATAGACACTTGGGCCTTTTATATGCTTCTTGATCTTCTATACTGCAAAAATAATTTTCTATTGTAAACTTAAATTTTGCCAATGAAAATAGTCCAGAAATGCCATTGAGTAGACAAAGATACCTGAATGGTAAGGATAGTGTATTCTACTATTAATCAGTTATATGTTTTGAGTATGGGCTCGGTTCTGAGCCTAGCCTTCTTGGATGAAATGTAGGACTTATTCAGAAACTATGGATCAATCCAAAAATTGAGATTTATTCATCGGAAGGAATGAAAAAAGGAAAGCAGAAAGTGAAGTGTTTTTTCTGTGGTGTAGATGTAAAAAGAAGAGGAAAATTTCAAAATGAAAAACAAAGAAGTTAAAATTATATATACAAAAACAATTCTGAACATTAAGGAATGCACTGGACTGAATATTATTAATCTTTTTATTATTATTTTTATTGCAGTAGCACCTACAGGTCTCAGTCAGATTGGGGCCCCATTCTGCTAGCCACTATAAACATATAGCCCTGAAGGTCAATTAGAAATCTCAGGGTACATCTACACTTGAAATGCTACAGAGGCACAGCTGCAGCGCTGCAACTGTACCGCTGTAAGTATAGACACTCACTGCATCGATGGAGGGATTCTCCCATTGCTGTAGTTAATTCATCTCCCCAAGAGGTGATAGCTAAGTTGATGGAAGAATTTTTACATAGACATAGCACTGTGTATACTGCGGATTAGGTGAGCATAGTAACATTTTTCAAGGATGTTGATTTTTCACACCCCTAACATCTGTGATTCTATGTTATCTTTCAGGTGAGACCATTAAGGCCAATTCTCCTTTGCTCTGAATGGACAGTAGAGCTCTCATAGGTAATTAGTTACATTTGGATTGTGGCTTTGCCTCTATGTTCATAGAAGGGGCAACACGTCATTGCATTGACCCTCGAGGAGATCAGAGACCACACTGTGCCTATTCCAGGGGTGAAGTCATCTGTGCCAGCCCTCCGTACCATCTCAGCTCAACAGGTTTGTGGAGGAGATCCAGAGTGGAGCTGAGCGTTACTTGCTATTCAAAATTCAAGCTGGGTTTCTTAGTGGAGACTGATCAAATAGGCCTCATGTTTATAATTCTCTTCCCGGACTGGATGACTATATCACTTATAAGCAGATCTCCACTGCAAACATCCACAGAATCTAAACTTTGCATAGGTTTGCTAGGAGTTTATAAACTTAAAATTTACTTCATGCTAGTAAATCCTAATCACCTGAATAACCCCAGTGAGCAAATGGACACAAACCACAGTGGAAGTGAATTTGTTCACAAATCCTGATGTGTTTCTGCAGAAATATGTTTATGCTATTCTTTCTCTCCATAAGTGCATTCTTAAACCATAGGGTAAAACTTCTGATAAATATTTGAAAACTATTCCAAGAATATCAATATTACTTTTATACTTATTTTAGCCATATATTTCTTCATTTGCTATTTCTCTTGCTCACAGTCTCCCCTCCCCCCTCTCTTTTTCCTTAACTACTAGTATGCACACTTAACTGAACAAAAGTGCTAGATGGTAAGGCCATGACTTCACAATAAGATTTAATTATGAGTGCAGATATGAACAAGATTTAGACTATTAAGCCATGCACTTCAAAAAACCTTTAACATATTTTGTCTTTAAATCTTTTATCACCTGCAAAAATTAATTAAGTGCAGATGTAACAGGTTAGGTTTTGATGCCAGGGTTCATTTCCTGTCTATGCTTTGTCAGACAACCTATTACACCTCCTCATGAACTGTAGGCAAAACAAAAATGGTGCTCATAAATCAACATTCCGCTTTCTTTGGGCTGTGCATTGGGCTGATCCTTTAAGTATGAAGCAAAGCTCCAATTCATTATTCATGAAAATAATATAGACAACATGCCAAATGTCATCTGTATTTAAATACACCATCAGTTAAACAAATTAGAACTCTATTGTGTAAGAATGCATTCTATTCAAATACTAGATTAATCCAATGAAGTTGACTTTTAATCATTTCGCTCTCCTGCAGGGAATCATCCAAAGTTGGCATATGTGATTTGAAAACTTTTCAGAGAGAATGACTTGTTGATTTGTTTTAATAATATCAATGTTACTCAACAAGCAGATGGGGGAAGTGGCCAATTTGGTTACCAAAGCAACAGCATTCTTTAAAGCATATCAGACTATTTAAAGTCTGTATTCTGTAGGGAAAAGTAAACTTGGGTTCTGTTGGGTTATTTTAACAGTGGAAGTATCAATTCATTTAAGGACCATAAATGTTGCCCTGATCTGTGCCTTCTTCTCATTAAATTGCAGTTAACACCATTAAAGTGAAACATATATTTTTATAGTTTCAGTACTGCCATCCTGGCTTTAATGAGTTCCCAAATGCAAAGGAAATACATGCCTTTATTTCTTGTAAGTATTAAAAGCAGGAAAGCCTGATGTACAAATATAAATTCATTATCTTTTATCTAGATGCACTGAAAGTGTGATGCTTGCCAAGAATACATACCAGATCTACAATCAATATCTTGCCTATATTTAGCTTGTCTCTCAAGTATTTGGCAGTAATTGCAACCGAATTAAAAAAGCAGAACCCCCTGTGGAATAGAGAAGAACAGAAATAAGAAAGCAAATCAGTCAGGAAAACAGTTATAAATAATGTTCAGGGCATTTAAAAAAATGCTATAAGATCTCTGAAGCCATAAATCTGCTTCTGGGAGTACCTAGAAAGCCTTTTCAGTCATCTGCTAACAATTAGAGTTCTTCAGAGACATACACAGTGCAGGTGATTGCCAGTAACCCTAGCGCTCCAAGATGGGCAATATTCCCTGGTACTTACATGGCTGTTGATTCTTCAGCATGATGGCCTGGGGGCCTTACAACAGCAAAACCATTCTGTAAGAACAAGATAGGTTTTCAATTATCAGATTTTTTTTTTAAAAAAAGCTGGTTTTTCTGTGTAACACAGCACAGCAGGCAAACAGAATTGGAATCTACCAGAGGCTCTTGAGCACGTTTTGCTGCCCCCATTGCCCTTTCATAGAATTAGCAGAAACAATATATGTGATCACAGCTGCATATAGATCATGACTTAAAGAGAAGCAAAGAGACAGGCTCTAATATAGCCGGGATAAGAATAAGATATTTTGGAGCTGTACAGCACCTCACTGGCAAATATACACAATAGCTATTGTTCTGTACGACACAAGCATAACTGATTTATTCATTTAAGTCCAGAATCCATAGCTGGTAGAGAGAAAGTATCACTGATCCACCCCGATGAACATTTGATCCAAATTAAATTGCTCCCTGTCGATCCGTTTCAGACTATAAAACAGTAGAAAGGAAAAAAGCCTTGATATTTACATACAGTGGTTTGGAAATGTTGGCTCTACCTTCTGTGTAAACTAAATGATAAATTTACACTCGCACACAAAAAAGGCAATTCCTAAGAGTAGAAAAGGAGGACAATGGAAATCTCATTCTTCTCCAGTCTATAAATTAAGCTTGGAGGCCTGCCAAAGCTTGCAACTTTATTGAATTCCCTCCGTCAATTTCTAACACACATTCTGGAGTTTTATAGAACATTTTCATACGCAGCAGCTATCAGAAGTAGTGATGATCAAGGAATTCCTTAACCTACAGATTCACTGCAATGCATCATGTAAAAAAAAAAAATGAAGTCCCCCCTACATGAAGCAAAGGAAAGATCTATAAATCCTTGCAAGACGGCTGCTGTTCAAAAATGTAGGCTGGATAGTCATGAAAATAATTTGCTATCATAAGGAAAAAACTGTTAATCAAAACCTGGGCCAAATTCCACTCCCTGTTATACCAGTGTGAATCAGGAGTAACTCCATTACTTCAGCAGATTTACTCTTGGTTTACACAGATGTGACTGGGAGCAGAATTGGACTCGTGTGTTCAACTATTGCTTTATAACCATAGCCAATGGAGATTAAAAAAAATGACGTTCTAATCAATGCATAATTCTGGCAGCCAAACCTCTATTTTAAGTAGTCAACAAGGAGTGCCTCAAATCCCTCATACAAAATGCAGCAATGGATTTTAAGGAAATACTGTAGACTATATTTTAAGAAAACACTGTAGAGTACTGTTGAATACATATGCCTTTTATTGATAAATTATTCTAATTAGAACTAAAGAGGATAGTTAGGCTGCAGAGCTGCAGTCCTTATCCAGGAAAACAACTATAACAATCGATGGACCTGATTGTCCTTTCACTTTCACAGGTGTAAATAATGAGTACCTACAAGTAAATCAAGGGAGTTACACTGATGTATGTGAGATCCATTTTCCTAGACAAAAGTGCCATTGAACATATAAATAGCAGTTGCCTTACTGAAGGCTAATTTAGCAGCCAAGCAATCCTACAACAGCATCTAATATAACCTACTGTTAAACATAATTCAAGAAGCCAATTACAATATTTTCTAGAGTCTAGACTATTGTGTTATCAGTCTAAACGGAACCCAAGGCAGCTGCAAAGGGAGTAGTCCTGCAATATACTGATCAATTCCACTGATCCTCATTTAGAGACTTCAGGGCACTCGGCAGCATCGCTCAATGTCATACCCCTCATTTGCATATAAATATTCATACTTTATCAAAAAGAGACACACACATCAAATACGTGTGTCAGTTCTTAGGTATATCTCCCTTGGCAATTGAACAGAAATTGCCTGTAGATTGAATTCACCAGCAATGAAAACCAAAAACCAAGGCAATTACAAAGCCATTAGTGAGGAATATCCAGGATTGCCTATGCTTACCGGGTTTGTTGTTTTTCATAAAGCCTCAGATCCTGGAATCAGGTGATTTTTAAAAAAAAAAGTTTCTAGCCCTCATAGTTTCTGAGAAAAACTCGAAAATGTGACCTTTAAAGGCTCAAAGGCCAGATGGCAAATTAAAAGTACCCCAAATTTACTATTTTAAAAAATCTCATCATTTTAAAGCCAATTTAATGGATTGTGGGGATCTGACTCATGATTTTTGAATGTTTAGGGTTGGTAATACTGAACAGCACTGGATGTTTAACTTTAAAGACATTAGTCTGCTGATTGTACTTAATATAGAGTACAGTGAAGCAGAAGGAGGATGGGCTGCATTTAGCCTATAGCTGTCAAACCGCATTTATACTGCTAGCTAAAATCTTGGTACTCTGCCCACATAGGCTTTTTGTGGCCTCTTTTTTCACAAAATATGTTTCACAGGCGAGTGTACCAAATTTCATTCTCATTCAGACAAATTCTGGGATGTGTTTCTCCCCTCTACCATTTGTGAAAATCTAAATAATATATACATTCAAGTACATGTAGGTAGAGAACCAAGAGAACACAGTCAAGGAGGCACCATTCATCAAATTATGACATGTATTTTGCTCTTTCAATACTAGAAAACAATTTGGAAATATCAGTGCAAGAATTATAGCTGCCCCTGCTCAGTTCACAGCTCATTATTATCTAACCCTATCAGCATTCCCAAAAGATCGATATAATTAAGATGATTATCTCTCAGAGTACATCATGGGGGTATCTAAAGGGGAGAAAATGGGACACTTTCCTGTTTTTGACAGCATGACAGATACATTGTACACTCCTCTCTTCTGTTTCTTTACTGTAGCAATCCACAAAGGCAAGAGGAATTGTTAGAATGATCTGTCTGGAGATCTAGTTTCCTTACCAGTGGCTAATTTCGGACATCTTGGGGTAGTTAACCCTGTCAGTCCCCTATGAGCATCCAAAATATCTATTTGACCCCTCTGGGGACTACATTATATATCCGTACATTACAGTGAAATTCAGTGCATTACAACAGGCATTTGGGGAAATATTTTTCTTAGGAAAAAACCCTATGCTGGTGATCAAGCAGTTAATTTAATCTAATCCATATTGAGCAACACTGAACACTGATTATCAGCTAACACACAGTATTAAAAAACAACATTCATGCAACTGATAGAACTCCCTTCACACATCCTTTAGCTTCAAGCTTTGCACAAACATACTCTATATTAGCACAACTGAATGTCAACTAATTTATTTAGGCAATATTTAAATACCAAACTGTAAGCTCTGGCTGAGGGTTAGAAGAAATGCAAAAATACAGAGTAGAGATAGACAGACTAACGAAGAACAATATGTTGAAAATGAAGTGAACACATACATTCAAAACATTTTATTTATTTATTTATACTAGGATACAGGAACCATTACATGTAAACTGACTGACATAAACGCACATTAAAGGAAAGATTCACATCTGTAGCATTATATACTTAGTTCTCTGGTTAAACCTAAATATAAGGAGTAGAGCTGCAACTAAGATGGTATTAAAGCCATGGCTCTCAACCTTTCCAGACAACTATACCCTCTCAGGAGTCTGATTTGTTTTGCGTACCCCAAGTTTCATCTCACTTAAAAACTACTTACTTACAAAATCAGACACAAAATACAAAAGTATCACAGCACACTATTACTGAAAAATTGCTTACGTTCTCATTTTTACCATGTAATTATAAAATAAATTAGAATATAAATATTGTACTCACATTTCAGTGTATAGTATACAGAGCAGTTTAAACAAGTCATTGTCTGTACGAAATTTTAGTTTCTACTGACTTTGTTAGTGCTTTTTATGAAGCCTGTTGTAAAACTAGGGAGATATCTCAATGAGTTGACATACCCCCTGGAAGACCTCTGCGTACCCTCAGGGGTATATGTACCCCTGGTATAAAGTCTACACCTGCTCGAACTGGGAATGACAGAGGAGACGTATATTCAAACTTTCAATTCACAGAAAAGATGCATTTTAGATCTATGTGATCCTGTCTCCGGGCTACTGGAGAGAAAAACAAGGAGAATTCATTCCCTTCCTGTACTAACATAAGTATTTTGCTCCCTCTCAATGCTATACATGTGGCTGGATGCCTACTTTCCAAAGAGTAGCTGGGAGATCAGTCATATATGCTAGCATTCTTTTCCTCAGTGTTTTACTTAATTCCTTGATGCTTTGCAACAGCACAATCGGACATCCATCCTGTTTCTGCTGAAATGGGCAGTCAAGGATAGTTTCCATCACATTATTGGGTTCTCTGCTGTTTATGTACTGGTTGTCTGCACTGATCTTCTATGGTGGATCCACAGCATAATGAGGTAATATAGGCTTAAGAAGCATTTTGCCACAATGTGAATTTGTCCATTCACAGCAATGTGTGAGAACAAGATCATGGTTACTAATGTTCTTCTCAAATATCCTGTACCCATACTCAATGATTCATGTGTTTATGGACACATTCCTACGAAGTGCTGAATGACTTCTAGAGGTGCTGGGCACCATTAACTCTCACTGGCTTCAAAGAGAGTTTAGGATGATTGATAACTTGCAGTCAGGCCCTGAGAGGGTAAAATTGACTCAGCAGTTGAAACCACTGCCAGCCAATTTTGACTAGCTAATTGATAAATATAACTTTTGTATTAAAATGAATGGTATTTAGCATATTAGGTCTTGTTACAAAAACTGTATAGCATTTGTAAAATATATTTATTATGGCAAGAAGCAGGGGTTCCTTTGGAAAAAAGACATCTGATCCTCTTTTGCTATCCTCAAATTCAGTACAAAACTGGTACTGTATGATATTTATAAGCCCACTTGTGCATTGACTGAAAGTACCTTTCGGATCTTTACAAATTAGTTTCATATGACTTCACCCTACAGGACAAATAAATGCTCCTTGGAAAGTGTTCCAGTCATTTGCAGTGTCATGCATGCCGCTGCATCCCAATGGGACAACTTGTGTGAAAAATCTAGCCCTATTTTTTTTGCAGGCACAGTTTAGCTGTCTAATTTTGAAAATTTAGCCTTCGTTGTCTTTT